GCAACAGGGGGGACCAGTGCCACCTGGGGAGCATTCTCTCCAGTAGAGTCTATCCAGCCAGGCCTGTTGATCTAATTATTGTGTGTACCTGCTAAGTCGCTTCCATCGTGTCCAAATCTGTGTGACCCCATGGACTGTAGCCCACCAGGCTCCTCTGTCCATGGGATTCTCCAGGCAAGAATACTGGAGTGGGTTGCCCTGCCTCCTTCAGGGGATCTTCTCAACCCAGGAATCGAAACCACATCTGTTGCGTTGGCAGGCAGGGTTTGTTTGTTTTTTTTTAAAAAACCACTAGTGCCACCTGGAAAGCCTACATCTAATTATTGATATTCAGGATAGACAGGGAAGAGATATGGTAAGAGTGCACCTAAATCAGAGAAAGACAAGTATCATGATATTGCTTATATGTAGAATCTTAAAAAATAGGTACAAATGAATTTATCTGCAAAACAGAAATAGAGTTACAGATGCAGAAAATAAACTTAACAGTTACCAAGGGGTAAGAGTGGGAAGATTGGGAGTGACATGTACACACTACTATATATAAAATAGATAACTAATAAGGACCATATAGCACAGGGAACTCTACTCAATTCTCTGTAATGGCCTATATGGGAAAAGAATCTAATAAAGAGTGAATATATGTATAACTAGTTCACATTGCTAGAAACCTGAAACTAACACAACAGTGTAAATCAACTATACTCCAATAAAAAAGAAATAATTATATATATAAAAAAGTGAACCCTCCTACTCCTGGGCATACACACTGAGGAAATTAGATCTGAAAGAGACACGTGCACCCCAATGTTCATCGCAGCACTGTTTATAATTGCCAGGACATGGAAGCAACCTAGATGCCAGATGAATGGATAAGGAAGCTATGGTACATATACACAATGGAATATTACTCAACCATTAAAAAGAATTCATTTGAATCAGTTCTAATGAGATGGATGAAACTGGAGTCCATTATACAGAGTGAAGTAAGCCAGAAAGATAAAGACCAATACAGTATACTAACGCATATATATGGAATTTTAAAAGATGGTAACAATAACCCTATATGCAAAACAGAAAAACAGACACAGATGTACAGAATAGACTTTAGGACTCTGTGGGAGAAGGCGAGGGTGGGATGCTTCGAGAGAACAGCATCAAAACATGTATGTTATCAAGGGTGAAACAGATCACCAGCCCAGGTTGGGTGCATGAGACAAGTGCTCAGGGCTGGTGCACTGGGAAGACCCAGAGGGGTGGGATGGGGAGGGAGGCGGAAGGGGGGATCGGGATGGGGAATACATGTAAATCCATGTCTGATTCATGTCAATGTATGGCAAAAACCACTACAATATTGTAAAGTAATTAGCCTCCAACTAATAAAAATAAATGAAAAAAAAAGTGAACCCGAATCTAGTTGAGTCTAATGCCTATATTCAGGACAAATGACCCAGTTTCTTCAACAAATACAGGGACGAGAAAAGCAAGGTGACTTGTAAATGGAAAGTGCCTTAAGAGATGTGTCAACCATGAATGATGTGTGGATGCTGTTTGGATCCTGATGCAAGTAAACAACTGTAAAAGCCATTTTTAGGTGATTTGGGAAAATGAACAGATTGGGTATTGAATTTTTTTTTAAATTTTATTTTTGGGTATTTGGATTTTAAGAAATTATTATTAATGTTGTTGGGTTTGATCATAATTTTGTGGTCGTGTTAAAAATAATCTGTTAGAACTCAGGGAGTCCCCTGGTGGCTCAGATGGTAAAGAATCCACCTGCAATGCAGGAGACCCAGATTCTGTCCCTGGGTCAGGAAGATCCCCTGGAGAAGGGAACGGCAACACACTCTAGTATTCTTGCCTGGGAAATCCCATGGACGGAGGAGTCTGGAGGGCTACAGTCCATGGGGTCACAGAGTTGGACATGATGGAGTGATTAGTACTTTCACTTCTTTTTTTTTTTTTAACTTTTAGAACTTAGAGAATGAACTTATGGTTGCCAGCGGGGTAGGGTGGGAGGGAGGGATAGACTGGAAGTTTGGGATTGACATGTACATGGTGTATTTAAAACAGGTAATCAACAAGGACCTACTGTAGAAAGAAATGTCTTTTAGCAAGAAGAAAAAAAAAAGTCTGTTAGAGGTATCTATTGGGTTGACTAAAAAGTTCAAATGGGTTTTTCCATAACATCTTACAGAAAAGCCCGAATGAAATTTTTGGCCAGCCCAGTACTAGTGTATTTACAGATAAGATGACATTGTATTTAAAATTTTCTTTAAAATATATATTAAAAAAAATCAAGGTAGGGGGAAGGTAGATGAATCAGTACTGATGTAATGTTGATAATTGCTGGATTAGGCTGATGGGTGCCTGGGGGCTCATATTATCATTCTTCCTACTTTGTGAGCTTGAAATTTTTCCTAATGGAAATTCAGAATAGAGAAGAAAGCCACCAAACAAAAATTCCCAGGAAGCTGCACTCGGTGCCCTCACTGAGTTTATGCAGAAGTTAAAGGAGATAACACACAGGTGCTCAATCAATCTTGCTTCCTTTCGTCTCCTTCCAAAGGCTGTCCTTAGGCAATGGCTGTATTCTGGTTTCTAGCAGTCTATTACCCGGGTTATGAACTGCCTCTGGATAATTCATGCCTGGTTTTCCAGAGCAAAGTCCTGACTCCCATCCAAAGAAGACAGGAGCTGTCTTGGAATTTCTATCCGAATTGTTGATCGTTGGTCACGATGGGGTGGGACCGATGAAAGGGTGTCAGGATGGGGCCCATCCACTCCTCCCGACACGCACCCCCAGAAGTTCTCTGGATTTGGGGACTGGCCCAAGGTCTCCACCAGCAAGGAGCATTGTAGAAGTGTAAACCCAGAGCTGGGAAGGGCAGGGCAGAGGAAGAGTGTCTTTAATCATTCATTTATCTCTCTCAGGGCTCTGACTGTTATCAGCTAGCAGTGCCTGGCACATAACAGGGGCTCAAAAATGTTAGTTCTCCTCTCTTCACATTTTATCAGTGAGCACAGACCGCTAACTGGTTGACACTGATCCAAGAATAAGAACGAGATAAAGAATAGGTGTTTAGAAAGCCGGGAAACACATTGAGGACACACGGGAAGGAATGCCTGGGCAGAGGAAGTGGAGCTGGAAGGGAAGAGGACCAAACAAGAGGGAGGGGACAGGGAGGAATGAGCAGCTTCATGGCGTTGGCCAGGCCATCCCCTGGATCACCCTCAGGCAGGCCAAGAGTCCTGGTCCCTGGCCTATGCAACGATAGGAAAAGCTTTCAAGGAGGTGGTCTGCAGCAGACACAGCCTCTGAGGAAATGGGCATTTAAAGGCTGCTCTCAGCCTGAAGCATCGCCAAGGACAAAGAAATCACTAAGGATTCCCAAATTTAAGAATCGGAATCTCCAGGGAAAGGGCCTGGGAATCCACATTTATGATAAGAACCCCGGTCGATTCTTATGATCAGGCAAGTTAGGGAAACTGCAGATTAAGATGGTGTTTCTTGATTGCCTACCTCAGAAGCCCTTGGGGAATTTATGAGACCAGGTGCAAATTCTCACGTGCAAATTCCTGACCCCAGAACCAGAGAATCAGAATAGCAAGAGGTCAGGGGCCTGCAGCCTGGAATCGGAATTCATAAAAAAAGTTTCTAGGTGATTCTGGTGTGCCCTACAGTGGGAGAGCCACAGAAACAGCATGGTGGCTAAGAGTATGTGCTCTGGAGTCGACATAACTGGTTTGAAGCCTTATTTCCCCATTCACCAACTGTGGGCCCTTAGTAGGGCCCTTAGTAGGTTACTTACTGTTTCTCTACACCTCAGTTTACCTATCTGTAAAATGGGGATAATAATAACATACACATATTATACAGTATGTGGAAAATACTTGATATAGACCTTAGAATATTAACATCCTGATTCTAACCTATTATAATCTAAAATAGGATCAAATCGAATCCTCTGTCCCTCTTACCTCCAGATTCCTACTGATTTTCTTGGTACTTCTGCTACATCCTTCAGTATAGTCCGCCTTATGGCAGGGTGACTTCTGTACACCTCTGTCTTCCGCACTCGACTCTGGACTTCCAGAGGGCAGAAACTGTGTCTTTTTTATATTTTTATTATTTACATTTAAAAATTATTTATTTATTTATTTAATTGGCCATGCCATATGGCATGTGGGATCCTAGTTCCCCGACCAGGGATCGAACCTGTGCCCCTTGTTAACCACTGGACTGCCAGGGAAGTCTCCTTGGCAGTGTCTTTTTTAAATGTTCACATACATGAGTCATGTTCTATTAGAGTCAGAGGAGGTCACCTAATCCAGCCTCTCATTTGATAAATGAGGAGACTAAGTGTGAACGATTCACTACAGGTCACATAGCCAGGTGGTTAAGCTCTAGTTGAGCCCCTGCAATGCTGCCTACTAGCTATGCCATATGAGCCTCAAACTCATCTTTAAAATGGGCATAATGATGTATACTTGCCTACTTACTAAGCAAGTGACTTACAAGTAAATACCGATGAGAAACTCTTGCAACCTGAGGAGTCTTGTTATTATTCCTACACAGAAGAAGCTAGAGTAATTACAGGGCCTGTTATTCACCTGTGAGGTCGACGTAAGGGTGACTCAGTCATATCTTCCCACAGTGTGGCCTTTGAAGCCTTCATCAGTCAGGCCAGAGCCTACCACTTTCAGCTTTAATCCCCATTTAACCTTTTCCTCTAGCCTCTGATCCATTACTTTGTCTTCTTAGTCATGGCCTAAACTTCCTCCCGACTCCATTCAATTAGACCATGAACCAAGTGATCTGACTCATCTCCCTGCTCCAATGGATCAGGTGTTGACCACAGTTCCCACTCTCTTAGGTTCTCAGATGTTTGACAAGAAACTCTGGAAACCAGGAAACTCAACTATAGGATCCTCCAAGCTCCTCCTTAGGGCTTCATTTCCTGACAGCCAAGCAATCCCCTGTCCCCTCATGGCCTTACCATCATGGTTGGCATTTCCTAACGTCCACGGCTCGTCTGAGTCAAAGTGAGTGTCTCCACCAATCCCTGGGCCAGGGAAGTAGGCATGAGCCAGGAATCCCCCTTCTCCATCAAATGGGGAGCTGTCGCCATGGAAACCAGAGGCAAAGAAGATCATGATGTCTGCCTCCTTCCGGTCACTTTTGATCTCGTGGTATGGCACCTCTTCAAAGGTCAGCGGGGTCACCTTCTGCCACACATCGAAAGCCTGGCGAATAGCTTTCCGAGTGTCTAGCTCACCCACCTTTGGGGTGTAGTTGTGAATGCTGATGAGAGAGGGGAGAAACCACAGGGAGGAACAGACAGGGAATTAGAGACTAGCAGAGCTAAAAGGAACATGAGAAGCTATGTGGGCCTAGAATTCTGCTGAGGTAGCCCAGGGATTGAGGAAGAGGCGGGGTAGATAAGGCTCTGGGTCCTCATCCTGCCTTTTACTCGGTGCTTTTGTATTTGATCTCTGAAAAAGGTTATGTTGAATTTGTAGAAGAAAATCAAGTTGGTGCATGGCATTTCCTAATTTTTAAGTTTTTCTCTCCATACATAAAACATGTACATTTATAAAAGTTATAAAAACTCTTACACTGTAGAGGGTTTAGTGGAACATCCCTTTCTTCGAAAGGGGGTGGGGGAAGGAGAGGGAATAGCGTCAATGTACATACACTACCATAGCTGGTGGGAAGCCGCTACACGGCAGAGGCAGCTCAATTCGGTGCTCTGTGTTGACCTAGAGGGGTGTGATGAGGGAGGCTCAAGAGGGAGTGGATATATGTGTGTGTGCATGCTCCATTGTTTCAGCTGTGTCCGACTCTTTGTGACACAATGGTCTGTAGCCTGCCAGGCTCCTCTGTCCCTGGGATTTTCCAAGCAAGAATACTGGAGTGGCTTGCCATGCCTTCTTCCATGGGATCTTCCTGACCTGGGGACTGAAATTGTTTCTGTCTATGTCTCCTGCATCGCAGGTGATTCTTTACCCAGTGAGCCACCTGGTAAGCCCAGATATGTATACATAGAGCTGATTCACATTGTTGTACATCAGAAACTAAGACAGCATTGTAAAGCAATTATACTGAAATTAAAATTTTTTTAAGTCTTTGGCACCAACTACTACTATTTGTCTACCTAGAAGCTAGTATAGAGTAGCATCTGATTGAATCATTTATAGGTTCAGCTATGTAAGGTTACTGTATCCACATTGCATGGGTCTCCGTGATGGAGCATCACCACTTCTGGCTGCTCTGTCCCATGAACACCTGGGGCAAGGACTATTCACTCATTCTACAGATAAGGAAACCAAAGCCCAGAAAGGCTGCAGGATAGAAGTTAAGGTCAGAGTTCAGTTAGGAGCCAGTTCTTTCTCTTCATCTACTCTACCTCTTCTGGAGACTCTAAGAGTCCATCCAGGTTTCCAACCCAGATTCTTCTTAAGTTTCCTCCTTCTTGTCAGATTTCTGAGAAGAGTCTATTCTGGCCTGTACAGCTTGTGAGCATGAGAGCCCTTAGTAAGTTAGTGTTAGTCACTCAGTCATGTCTGACTCTGCGACGCTATGGACTGTAGCCCACCAGGCTCCTCTGTCCATGGAATTCTCCAGGAAAGGATACTGGAGTGGGTAGCCATTCCCTTCTCCAGGGGATCCTCCTAATCCAGGGATCGAACCTGGGTCTCCTGCAGTGCAGGCAGATTCTTTACTATCTGAGCCACTAGAGAAGCCCCAGGAGAGCGCTTAGCTCAACTCTGAAGATCTCTGTCTTAGATTCTACTCCTAAACCTAGGGGATCCACCTGAGATGGAATCAGAGACTTGAGAGGTGCCAACCAGGGCCCAGCCGAGCCTGTACTATGCCTGCCCCTGGCCCCACCCCATCTGAATCCAGATGTCTGTGTTTCCTGTGATGGGTCCCAGCATCCCTGCCTGTGGTCACTGGTCTGAATTGGAGCCTGTTCCTGCTTTGCCCGTGGTTTCCCCAGACGGTCAAGGGGTAACACTGTTGCAGTGCAGCTCCCAGATCTTAAGAAACAACTGGAACTCTGTGCTGGGAACCTCGGCTGAAGTCCATCAATCAGGCTAAGTGGGGAAGTGATCCAGATGAGAGGGAGTGGGGTTTGGCAAGCGGTGGTAGGGAGGATGAGTTCAGCCATGGTTCTTTAGCTCAGGTGAAAGTTATCAGACAAGTCATACCCCACTTTCCGTAACTAAAAATGTGAGGAATCTAAACAGAACATAATTCATGAGGCCCTAAAGGACCAAACAAACCTGAAGTTGGAGACCCAGCAATCACTGGCTGTTACAAGAAGGACAAAGTCACAGGCTCTTAGAGCCAGGCCCTGATCACAGACCCACCTACAGTGTGAACTTCAGAAACTCAGGCCGGGAAAAGACAGGGAGGGTGGAGCCAAAGCCAGGGAGGAGGAGGGGGCGTTGAGGCACCTGTAGGTGATGTGTTTCTGCCTCCATTTCTGTCCCGTCAGGGCATAGCGCTTGTGTCTCCGCCTTCGGCTCAAGTGCGGGTGATCTGGGACACCACACCGGGGTTTCTTCATCCACCTGGGCAGAGAGAGGACACACCCACATAGACACTGTGGTCACTGGACACTCTAGGAAGGCACTGCAGCATCCCTGGTCCCAAGCTGGATGGCATCGTGCACGTTCAACCTAAACTCTGGGCCCCTGGCCTAAACTTTGGGGTCCCCAACAGGAACACCATCGATTGGTCATCTGTTCATTCATTCCCAACTGAATATGAAGAAGCACTGCTGCGTGATGGACTCGGAGTCAGAAGACACGGGCTTGCTAGTTTCAACTCTGCCACTAATCGCATGAGTCCAGGCCAGTGGCTGAACCAATGTGAGCCTCAGCCTCCTCATTGGCGATGCAAGAATTACAGTTCTCCCTGGCCTTAGCTTGTGCGGAGCCTTCAAGGAGGGAGTGCCTGTGGACACGCTCTGTATGTGAAATCAGATCACATCACTCTTTGCTTTAAAACTCCCAATCACCTGGAATAAAATCCAAATTCCTCACCTTGGGACTTCCCAGGTGGTCCAGTGGCTAAGACTCCATGCTCCCAGGTTTGGTTCCTGGTCTGGGAACTAGATCCCACATACTACAAGAGTTCACATGTAGCAAGTAAAGATCCTGCCTGCCGCAATGGAGATTAAAGATCCCGAGTGCTGCAACTAAGACTCAGAACAGTCAAGTAATTACATATTTAAAAACAATCAAAATAAACTCCTCGCCTTGGCCCAAGGCCCTCACATTATCTGTGACCACCCCTCTACCAGGCACCTGTATCCCCTTCCTCAAATCCACTCTGCTCCAGCTCCAGTGGCCTCCCCGCTGTGCCTTGAACATCCTAAGGTCATTCCAGTTCCGGGTGTTTGCATTTGCTGTGTCCTCTGCTTGCCATGCTCTTCATCACATGGTTTGTTCTCTTACTTTATGAAGGTCACTGCTCAAACGTCACCCCTTCCAAGAGGGTTTCCCTGCCACCTTATTTAAATAATAGCTTCCCCCCACTATCCCATCTCTAACTGTTTATCCTGCTTAATTTTTCTTCATGGCCTTTATCACTGCCTGAAATGACATATTAGCTTGTTTTTCCTTTGTCTTTCTTACCTGATTCTAAGGTCCGTGAGCGCGGGAACCTTGCCTGTATTCCCACTGTCATCACAGTGCCTGACTTAGGAGGTAGTCAAGGGTGATGGTTAAATGAATGAATGAGAACTAGCCCATGGCAGAAAGGCACAGCTTGGAAAACAGTAAATTTTATATTACTCCAGATGTTCAAAAAGTGGCTGAACAACTATAGGGCTTAGAGTGTAGTTATCCACAGCACTTAACTACATTGTACTGTGATTTGAAATCTATTAGTTTATTGCCTTGAATAAATAGTAAATTTTCTGAGGACAGGAATGAGTCGTATTCATCATCCTGGCCTTAGAAGCTAGCCTTGTGCTAGGAGCTAAGTAAATCTTGATGACTGTTTGTTATCAGTAAAGTTGCATTAGGGAACAGTGAGCCTGGGACTTCTTTGGAGATGTGAACTAGGGGCCCGGGGAAGGAGATTTAAAAGATCATGGCTGATTGGAAGGGTCACCCTTGCATCTCATGTTCCTTTGCCGCCCTAATGACCAGCTCACTGAACTAGAGGTTGAGATCGCTGCGGGGGGAAAACAGTCTGACCTCATTTCCAGTGGTTGAAAGCAGCTGCCTTTAGCAATAGAGAGGAAAGGAGACAGAGACCATTTTAACCAAATATTAAAAGCCCCTTGAGGGACGTAACCAGGTCCCACTCATTTTGTATCTACCTCACCTAGAACGTCCACACTCAGAAATCAATAATAAAAGACTAAATAGTGACAGTAACAGGCATTGATATAAATGTGTATAATTTTCAGTGTTCATTCTCTTTTTTAAAAAAATTAATTTGAGGGACTCCCTGGTGGTCCAGTGGCTAAGACTCTGGGCTCCCAATGCAGGTGGCCTGGTTTTGTTCCCTGCTCAGGGAACTAGATCCCATATGCTGCAACTAAGAATCTCCCCATACCTCAACTAAAGATCCTTTGCGCTGCAACAAAGACCCTCACAACCAAATAAATAAATATTAAAATAAAATAAAAAAACAAATTCGATTCTCAGAGCAACTCTGTGAAGTGATCAGAAATGACTGACCCTGATTTTAGACAAGGGAAAAGATACACACAGATAAAACCAGTAACTTGCAAAATACAACAAAGGGTGAGGCAGGACTGGGATTCTGTTGAATGAATAAATGAAATATAAACTAATGTACCTGAACAAATAAAAGTTGGGGTTTTTCTTTTCTTTTTCCCTCTGCTTAGCACTTGGTTGGGTTAGAGGAGCTGTGTTTGTTGAATGAATGAAGGAGTGAATAAGTGTGACATTTCCCAAGGCAGACACTCAAAAATAATCCCTTGAGGGGCTGATCTAGCTTCCTTTCACTGACAGTCCCTGGGAAGAGACCCAGGAGGCACCTTTGCTACAGCCAAGGTGGAGCTAGACCTGGAAGGGCCCCGGAGTGGGGCAGGGAGACCAGCTCAGAGAGAGGCAGCAACACCCGACACCCGAGGTCACAGAGCTGGAGCCAAAACGAAGGTCTCCAAGTTCTCCCTGCAAACATACTCCCCACTCAGGTCTGGGATTAAGTGTGGGCACCTTCTCCCTCCCCGTGCCTCCAAAACAGCAGCCCCCAACCCCGCTCTCCTTCCTACAAAGAGGGGGCGCAGAGCGGCAAGTGGGAAATGCCAGCCCGCTCCCTCCGCCTCCTCCTCTTGCTGCCACCTGCCACTCCCTGAGCCCGGTCCAGCGGGCCTGGGGCTTCTGGAACAGAGTGAAACCCAGGGCCAGGTGGCACCTCAGCAGAGGCACCGGCGCCGCAGCCGCAGGAGGCGCTGCCATGAGGCCTGCGCAAAGCCCTCAAAATAACCTCAGCTTGGAAAGGCGGCCAGGCTGCCCAGGCCGCAGGCCCACGGCGTCCACTACTCAGAGCAGCACAGGCCGTCAAGTGTATTGTCTCAGGGGTTCACAACCTCACAATCAGAGGATCTGAGGCACAGGAAACGTTCGAATGGGACTATGGGATCATAAAACCCCAGACGCACCACATTTTATTTGAAAGCTTGAGGCTTAGAATAATGGAATCTAGAATCTGAGAGTCAAAATCCAACACTTCCCCTCCATCCCCTACCCTCCCTCCCCCAACCCCTTCAGTAACTGAGCAAGCTGAGGCCTAGAGAGATGATTACCTTAAGGAGTGACTCAACCCAAGGGTGGATTGATCCTGGATCCACCACTGGCTGGATTTCCTGTTCTCGGCCAGCCGCCTACTTGCCTGCATCCTGCCCAAGCCCTGCTCTCTCCTTCCACCTGAGTTTGGGTACCGCCCCCCCCACCGCCCTCCCTCCCTCACCCACCGCCAGGAAACTCTTTCCAAGCCCTTGGCTGTGCCTTCCTGGCAGTAATGGCTTTTCTTTTCCTTTTTATGTCTTTTTTAAAAAAATCTTTTTATTTTGTATTGGGGTACAGCCGATTAGCAATGTTGTGATAGTTTCAGTGAACAGCAAAGGGACTCAGCCATACATGTACACGTATCCATTCTCCCCTCCAGACTCCTCTCCCATCCAGGCTGCCACATTTACACTGAGCAGATTTCCCTCTGCTATATAGTAGGTCCTCGTTAGTTATCCATTTTAAACACAGCAGTGTAAACATGTCAGTAATGGCTTTTCTTAAATAGCTTTAATAACTTTCATGGCTATTTTGTAGAGTCAAAAAAACTCAACTCTCCTCCATCTTAAATAAAAATTCATCCCTCTCTAGCCACCATCTATTCCTCCTTTCTTTCACTGTTCAGCACTTTTTTTGAGGGGGTGGGCAGGCTTCTGGGATCTCAGTTTCCCGACCAGGGATTGAACCCAGGCCACGGCAGTGAAAGCCTGGAGTCCTAACCACTGGACCATCAGGAAACTCCCACTGCTCAGCTTCTTGAAAGTTGCCCCTATGTTTGCCATCGCCGCTCCTCGCCTCCCCTTCTCCCTATCGCAATCTGACTTTGCTGCCATCATTCCATGGAGGTTTCAACACCCTCTTTGTTACCAAACTCAGCAGACACCTTTCAGCCTCCTGTTTGACCTCCACGAAGGCTGACCCTGCTGACCATCCCCTCTGCCCCCCACAACGGCCATAGCCTCCCTGCCTGGCTTCCTCCACTTCTCAGGTGGCGCCTTCTCCTGGGGGTTCCACCCTCATCACTCTTCTCTCCCTCCTCTTTATCTTCTCCCTGAGTATAAAACCATCCGTGTGGTTTGGCCTACTTGTCATTACCTCCTAAGTATCTCCCTGAGATTCAGTGTTTCCTTCTGAGTTCTAGACCAGCAGAGCTAGCTGATGGTGTTTTTCACTAAATGGGGAGCCTCTGGAGCGCAGGGATCGAAGGACCAAGCCCACTTCCCAGCACATGCAGACATTCAGCAAATGTTTAATAAATGGGGAAAGTGGAACAAGACTCGCCATCATTATTCTAGAATTTCCTGTACTTAGTGAGATGCATACATCTCAGGGATGCCAGAAGGGTGACTCACAGACCCACAACTTATTAGAATCAGAAGAGATTTAAGGCCACCTATAACCAAACCCCTTATTGTGTTGATAAGGAAACTGAGGCCCAGAAGAATCAAGAGTCTTGTCCAAGGTCACACAGCAAGTTTACGGCAGAACACATCCCCAGCTCACGTAAGAGAAGGCCCCTTGGAGTATTCCCTCCCGGCTGACACTCAGGACTGGAAGATAGGAAGGTAGGATGGGCGGGGTATACAGATGAGGCCATGACAAATGTGAACCCAAACATAACTCTGGAAAGTTCAAAGGCACAATGTCCTGTGCAAATCTTACTCGATTGTTGTCTGATCCAACACACCGGTGACAGGGATCCCGTAAAACTGCTGCATCGTGGCGACTGCTGACTGTAAGGCCTTCCCTGAGTGCAACGCAGATGACCGTGAGTCAGAGGGCAGCAGATAGCCATAGGACTTTAACCAGTTCTGAAAAACACGCAAAAAGAAAAGAACTCATCAGGTGGGGAAGGCTCATTTGCCCTTGAAACTAGGGACCGTTTTACCCAAGGGACTAAAAGGACACATGTTCTGATTCCTGTCTCCTCCACTCCCTCCTGCAGATGTTGTCAAATGAACCTCCAGAAAACACGGCTCTTGTTGGCTTACTCTTCTGCTATCAAGCTTCCGTTGAATTTCTGTTGGCTATGGAATAAAGATTAAAATGCATCCTAGCCTTTCCAGCACCTTATCTCTTTACCATGTACTCAGTGGTTTCCACTGACGTATGCCTAGACAGGCAAGAGGACCAGAACAGTCCATTCTCTGAAGCAGAGGGACTTGAGGAAACACTGTGCCCCCCAGACACCCACTGTATCTAGAGACAGAGTCTGCTGTAGGAGCCTTTTGTAGAATTATCTGTAGATAATAGATTATCTGTAGATAATGAGATATATACAGTCTTCATTGCTAATCCCTCCAAAGAAGCAAGCTATTACTAATAAATAGAAACAAAATAAAACAGTGTATTATTTAATTTAAATATAACTACATAAATATGAACATAGAAAAAAGTCTAGAAGGGCACACATAAAAAACAATAATATAGCTACGTAAGAGAATTCTTTGCTTTTAGGAAATATACACTGAAGTGTTTCAGCTTACATAAGGATGCAATGCATGAAGTCTGCAACATTTTCTTTAACAGATTCAGGGAAAAAATTAGAGAAAGAGAGAGAGGAGAGAGAGAAAAAAAATGTGGTAGAATGTTAAGAGATAGGGAATCTGGGTGAAAGGTGTTTAGGAATTCTTTGTCCCATTCTTGAAAACTTTTTTGAAAGTCTGAAATAATGCCAAAAAATTTTTTTAATAAAAAAGGAATGAATGTGATTAGCCTTTGTTATAATATCATGGGGGACTTCTTTTTTCTGTGCTTATCTAAGTGGTATGCATGGAGTCATTAAAAAAAAAGGAGATAAACTTTAAAAGGGCAAGAGAATCTGAAAGTAGCTTGGATGAAGAAGTTCAGACAATGAATCTGAAGGTCAGAAAAGTAAAGATGAGTATTTTCATTGACCAGCTAGAAATCAGAGGACCAGGAAATATCTGTGGCATTAATTGGAGAATGAAGAAAACATCCATGCATCTATGGAACCCACAAGCATGTCCTGTAGAGTGTGCACGTACACGCTGGTCTCTAAGTCACATGGAAACTGCCAACCATCCTCAGAAGATTATCTTGAACATCGAGTGAGCAAATGAAGAAAAAAGACCTTAGGAAGCTGTATTAATGCTCTTCCCATCTACAGTTTTGTTTCTTTTTAAAAAATATTATTTATTTATTTGGCTGCACCAGTTCTTAGTTGTAGCACGTGGGATCTTCCATCTTCATTGTGGCATATGGAATCTTTTTTTTTTTTTTAGTTGCAGCATGCGAACTCTAAGTTGCAACATGTGGGATCTATTCTTCCATCAGTAATTGAACCTGGGCCCTCTGCATTCCCCCCTGCATTGGGAGCACTGAGTCTTAGCCACTGGACCACCAGGGAAGTCCTCATAATTTTGTTTCTTTGTTTCTATATGAACATCTTATTGTGGCTGTGTCTGTTATGACAAGGCAAATCAAACCATTTTGGGAAGGAGGCAGACCAGAAACTATAAATAAGTTATTATTTATTTCACCAAGGAGGCTGTCACATCTTCACTGCCTTGTGATGAAATCCATCTGACTGATTAAGAACAAAATAGTCATAATAATAAAGTCTTAAAAACATCCCCAAGAGAGTGACAACCTTACTCTTTCATTAGAAATCTACAACCTGTTTTTCATTCTAAATTTTGGCACAGGTTTTCAATACTTCTTGTGCTTCCCCCAACGCTGAATCTCTGTCATGCTTTTGTATGTTTTCCCCTTGTATGCCTGGCATACTTCTTATTTTGGCAAAAATCTTTCATTATTTTAAGGTTAAGCCTATAAATTGCTCCCTCTGAAAGACTTACCTCCCTCCCTAGCCTGGTACTTTCCTCCTCTTCTGTGTTCCCTAAATCCCCTGTTATAGACAGTATAGTTCTTGTAATATTGGGCTCCAATCATTACTGTATTCATCAGACTCTGAACTCCTCCAGGGAAGGGTCCATGTTTTACTCATCTCTCTATATCCGGTGCCCAGGGAGCCCCTGACACAGTAGCTGATCATTGTGTCCATTCAATGCACATTATTGGGCACAGACTATCTAGTAGGCACTGTGCATGGCTCTGGGAATGCAAAGATGAATAAGGAGCTCACAGACCAACAAATAAACCCATCATGAAAATATAGCACTAAAAATCAGATATGTAGACAGTTCCATGGAAGAACAAAGTGGGGGACATGTTATCCACACGGAGGGCTGGGGATGGGGAGCAAGGGAACTCAGGGGAGGCTTCCAGGTGGTGGTGGTATCTCAATCTTTTTAAAATTAATTATTTTTTGGCTGTGCTGGGACTTTGTTGCTGTGCATGGGCTTTCTCTGGTTGCAGCGAGTCGGGGCCACTCTCTAGTTGTGATGTGAGGGCTTCTCGTTGCAGAGCATGGGCTCTAGAGCACGTGGGCTTCAGTAGTTGTGACACATGAACTTAGTCACTCCAAGGCCTGTGGAATCTTCCTGGACCAGGGATTGAGTCTATGTCCCCTACATTGACAGGTGAATTCTTAACCACTGGACCACCAGGGCAGTCCTGAGCTAGGTCTTGAAGGATGCAGTATGTGCAATGACCTGGAGGTGCTGGAGAGCATGGCACATTCTGAGCAGTATTTAAAATGGTAGGAACTTGGGGAGGAGGAGTATGGTGATGAGAGGATTGGAATGGAGGAAGTGGAGAGAGATGATACACTATTAATTATCTGTTCACACAGTGGACAAATCACAGAGAATCACTTGTGACTTGACCATGGTCTTGGATTAGCCCAAAAGCTCAAAACATCTGGAAATGGACATGACAGGGCAACTGACAAGTTACCTGTCCATTCATCAAGCTCCAACTTCTATTCCCAGGTCAGTTATGTCATCAAAGTATTAAATCCCTGTACCGTATTACTCACCCCTTCTGGCCAGAATGCCACATTATGTACTTTACAGAAACTTCCTTGAAGAATTGTTGGATTGAATAAACAGGGTGCTACCATGGGAAAGTTTTGAGGTTGAATCCCAGTTTATCACTTGCCAGCTATGTGACTTTGGGCAAATTGAGTATCAGTTTCCTTATTTGTGGGCTCCCCTGATGACTCAGATGGTAAAGAATCTGCCTGCAATGCAGGAGACCTGAGTTCGATCCCTGAGTCAGAAAGATCCCCTGGAGAAGGGCATGGCTACCCACTCCAGTCTTCTTTCCTGGAAAATTCCTGGAGGAGCCTGGCGGGCTACAGTCCATGGGGTTGCAAAGAGTTGGACATGACTGAGCAACACACACTTTTCCTTATCTGTAAAATGTAAACAATGACCCTCCTCTACAAGACTGGTGTTAAGACGAAATGATCGAATGTACCTGACATAATCACTCAAAAGTGACTCGTTTATTCTCCCCTTGGATGGTGTCTCTGTTACCTTTTGTAAAATCAAGGTGGAAAACACAGTCTTTGACTCCTTCTCGGCATTCTGAAATCTGGTCATCCTGCCCTCCCCCGGACCGAGAGCCACCTTGCGGGTGCCATGGAGGGCAGTGTGACAGTCACAATCAAGTCCACTTGCTCCACGAGCTGTGGGGCTGACCACCTCTCTCACAGCATTGGGGACACCGCGTGCAGAGAGATGACAGCTGACTGGAACGGCTCTCTTCGCCCTGTCACTCAGCTTTACTGAGACCAAACACAATCACTCTCCATCAAGCTTTACCTTGAGGAAAATGGTGTCTCTACAGGAGATTCTGTATGCTTTCTGGTTTCAGAATATGCATATTGGGTAACCCAGTGGTTTTCCTTTTTGGTGTTTCTGCTGGGAATCTTTTGGTCAAATTTATCGTGTAAGTGTTGAACACGGTGATGCTTGCAAGTTGCTGTTATGTTTTTCATTTTTCTGACCACTAAGTTGTGTTTCATCCTTAAAAATCTTACTTAAAAATATTGTTTCACTCTGTAAACTGCCTCAAACCCTTCCCAAAAGAGGTGTGGTACCAGTCTAAAATCCATTTCCTCCTTATTTGTGGACTCCATTAGTTAATTCTCTTAAAATCTAATTAGGATGAATTACAGTATCTGGGAAATAGCTAGAGAACTATTAAAAACAACACTAAGGGGAAGGTTTATTTTAAAAATATTTATTTATTTTTGGCTGTGTTGGGTCTTAGTTGCGACACGCAAGATCTCCCTTGGAGACGTGGGCTCTGTGGTTTGCCACACGTGGACTTAGTTGCCTCACAACATGTGGGATCTTATTTCTCTGACCGGGATTCAACCTGTGTCCCATGCATTGGAGGGAGGATTCTTAACCACTCTGGATCACCGTGGAAGTCCTGGCTTCCACGGGGAAATTTGGACAGATGCTTCCAACAAACTGGTCAACAGAGTATTTTTTTGAGTACCCGCCTTCAAGCTAGTATGGAATTTGACAATTTTCTCCCCTCCTATCCTCATTACTATGATATTGTAGGAGACAGGGAACAGAGAATTTTTGGCATAAACTCTTTTCTAAAATTTGGGGGGATTGAAAGGAGCTCCTAGTTGGTAAAGGGCAACCATCTTTACCCAGCTCCTTTTTTGGATACTCAAGTAAAATGTTAGTCTGTCAGTTGTGTCTGACTCTTTACAACCCCATGGACTGTAGCCCACCAGGCTCCTCTATCCATGGGATTCTCCAGGCAAGAATACTGGAATGGGTAGCCATTCCCTTCTCCAGGGGATCTTCTGGAGATCCCAGGTTCAATCCCTGGGTCTCCCACATTGTAGGCAGATTATTTACCATCTGAACCACTAGGGAACTCAAGCAAGGAGCATCTCAAAGCCAACCAGGATCCA